ATGTATATGTGTGTATATATATATATATATAATAAACTACTACTACTTGTACTACCATTCCTACTTTGTGGTTTTCACTTATCGTGGGGTTTCAGGGTACAAATACCCCACGATAAACGAGGGACTACTGTAATTGTACTTATAGTCTTTAAGGTTCAGTCTAGTTCTGGAAACACGATGATTTAAAAAATGTTTTTTAAAAAGTTTTGCGTAAGATGTTTTATTTAAATTTTCTTATGGTAAATTGCTGTTTAAAAAAAAAAAAATCATTTTAATTTTTTTAAACTAAAAATATTAGGCGCCTGATGGAGATTGTCCAGGGGTCACTTTTGGCCCTCAGACCTTAAGTTGTCCATATATGCTATAGAGGATTTAAATGATTTATTTCCATTAGCTCTCTGTACTCATTAGTTCAGACACTTGGAGCTCATCACTATCGGAGACAGACCAAAATTTAGTAGTTTGTATGTTCACAAAAAGCTTTGTGCGTGTGCAGGTACCAAATCAACAACAGGGTCAGAGCCAGCATGCATCCCTGCTCTGAAGCTTCAGTCTGAGTCATTCAAGCCACTTGGGTCATCTGCGGCATATGTTCTTTGATTCACAACTAAAATGATTCAAACTGCAACTAACATGCAGCCTTGGCTTTTTATTTTATTTATTTTGCTTAGCACAGAAAGTCCCTGAAATCCTCACATCCTCTTCTTCTGTTTATTTTATAAGATTTGTTTTAAGCAATGGTAATATTTTTTTTTCTTAATGCCTTTTAAATATTGCTGGTGTATTTTAGCTTTTACCTGAAATGCTTAATTTCAGCTGTCAAAAGCTGCACATAAACTCCTTTTGTATTATGTATAACTCTTCTAAAGTAAGCCAAATGTTTAATGATGTATGCACACGGGAGGATTTATTGGCTGCCAGCGTTTTTTATGTATAATTTCTATTTGCATTGATTTTTAAGTGCTTATGGTTGTTTAAAAATAAAGTTCTCTATGAAGATGAGCTTTGCTGAACATTGTAATTCTTGCAAGTTAATTTATAGCAATGTAAAAAAATAAGTATTTCAGTCGTTGTGTAGCATAAAAAAGATTTATAATATAAGTAACCAAAGAGCACCGCAGAGCTTAATCGCTGTAACATGGATTCATGGTTTAAAATGCATGCAAGCATCTCGGGGAGGGGGTGGGGGGGTAGTTCTGACATATAACATCTGTAGGAGGAGTATCAACAATCAAATCATCTAAGGTTGGGTTTTTAGCAAATTAAAAGTAAAGTGTTTCCTGCATGCCAAAGTAAAAAAAATAAAAATCTGTAATTTGTTTTTGCTTGGATTATGTGTTGGGGATTAGCTACTACCACACCAAATTTTAACTTAATGTCTGTAAAAATGACTGAGTAGCTATTTTTATGTTTGCTAAGGCTGGCAGCCATCTTTGATCCCAACTCATTAAGTTGTGGATCTATGATCACTTTCTATAACTTTTACAGAAATGCTGTCTGCTGGTCCATGAGTTATTTTGCTAACACACAGTTGACTCATGCAGTTCATTCCAAAGTTTTAAAACCAGATTTTGTGTGATCCTTTATTACTTGAAATATGTAATGGGGATGACTCTCAGCTACTACCACGTTCAATTTGGCTCAGCATTTGCAAAAATGACAAAATTTTAGCTCTTTTTTTCTTTTTGGTCACTAAGATTGATTTTAGCTGTGGCAGCCATCTTGAATTGGCTTGACTTCGTAATCAGTTGTAGATTTACTTTCAGTTCAGTTTCATTAAAATCCGTCCCGTGGTTCAGGAGATATTTTGTGAAAGACGAGTAATAAACATGAACACACAAATAATTCTGAGCACCTATTCCAGAAAAAAAAAATACATGTGCAGTACAATACTTTATTATTTTGTCACGTTTTAAAACAAGTCAATATTTAATTGGATTAAAAACTGCTGGATTTCATTGTTTCACCATATGTAAGACAAATGAATGTTTATCGTTGGATGCAATAGTCCTGCTGTTGTCTTAATTTTATTTAAGAGTAAATAAGATCATAGAATGAAAAAGAAAATCTGATGGCAACATGAGTGACAAATCATTATCTCAAAACATGTTTTTGACCATCTCCATGGTAACTCAGTTTCCCTGGTGAATAATTACCAACTTGAGTGAACAGCTGGTCTGCCCTGTTAATAGTAGCTTCTTTGTTGTTACACTACTTTTATACATCTTGAACAAGTGTATAAAGACTACAACTGCTTTTCTCCTTGAAGTGTCTGACACTCAACAACAGCTGCAGATGTTTCTAAACCACCTCTTCACTCAGGTGAACATACTGTATAACCAGCAGCTCCCACAGGTCAGATTTCAGGTTAGAGGCTGGTGTCCTCTGAGGATATCAGTCGATCCCTTTAAGAATCATGTGTGGCATCAGCATGCAACCTTAAAATAATGCAACAGTGTCTACATGATGAAACTATAAAATAATCAAATGAACATCCACATGTAGGAAAAGCTGCAGAGATACAAGTGGGTGGAAGAGTTCATGGTACAGTCAAGAGTGGAGTGAGTTCATGTGTTGGTAGGTGAGGGAATTACAGCAGCTCGATGGCCAGAGGGGGAAGCTGCTGCAGAACCAGGCTGCTGTGCTCGAAACGTTCATGTCCGTCTTTCTAAAGGCCAGGAGTGAACAGGCGGTCCATGGTGAGGGCGGCCAGTGCTTTGTATATTTTAAGATATACAGTAAATTATTTTCACTTGATCATTTTCCTCTTTTTGCACAATATTTGTTTTGCCATAATTAATGCTGTAGTTTTCTTTTACATTAGTCTGCTGCTTTATCATCCATCCATCCATCTATGCATCCATTCATCCATGCATTTATCCCTCCATCCATCCAACCATACATCCATTCATCTATGCATCCATCCGTCCATGCATTTATCCCTCCATCCATCCACCAGTCCATCCATCTATGCATTAATCTATGCATCCATCCATGTGATTATCAATCCATCCATCCATCAATGCATTTATCCATCCACCCATCCTTCTATGCATCCATCCATCCATGCATCCATCCATTCATGTGATTATCCATCCATCTATCCATCCATCTATCTGAAACTATTAACTGTATGTTCATCTACAACAGATTAGTTTTTGGTCAACTAAAATTAAAATGGCTGCCACAGCTAATGACATTAAGCTGATTTTGCAGCTATTAATCTAAAATTTGATGTAGTAGTAGCTGAGAGTTACCCCCAATAAATACTCCAGACATTAACAGATCACAACATCTCAGAAAATAGCCCAATACATGACATGTTCCTGTTTTTAGTATTCTACATTGCTTTACAACCTAGCTGTTTTTGTTTCATTTTTTTAAATACCATTGTCTTCCACATGTTCTTCTCGATTTGTATGCTTTCTTTTATGATTGTCTACTGTTGTCTTTGTTGTCATCACACTTTGTTTAAAGCAGGTCTCTCGTGTAAATGAGTCCCCGGGGCTCAGTGGGACTAACCTGTATAAATAAAGGTTGGATGAATCAAAAATTACGTTATTTTCAAAATTTGACCAAAACAGTCACAACTTTCTTACTTTTTTTTTTTTTAACATAGGAGGATAATCTTTCATTTAAATTTTTAATGTGAAAGAAAGGGAAAAAGAAAGAATGAATGAATGGAGGATTTTTGTTTCGATATTCTCATTGTATCTCGGTACAATGATAATAAAGCTTATTCTGATTCTGATTTTTAATAACAATAAACAAAGACGTTAATACACTTTAAAACCTTTTCTAAAGCTTCATTACTTTATTTTCAAAGGTTCATTTAATAGAATCCAATAAAATTCCACCAATGTAAGCATTTAAATTAGAAACTGAAATCCAATGAAAGGAATAATTTGCCCAGAGTTTTAAAATTTTTATTCTCGTCATGAAAATTACATTTTTTTAGTTAATACATTTTATTGAGAAAAAATAACATTCTTTTATTTTTGAAAGACTGTGTACCATAATTAACAAAAATATCTTTGTTCTGAGCATAATGGATTAAAATACATCAGACTTATTATTAGTATAAAATGGCTGATAAAGGTAGTAAAGCATGGTTTCATACATAACCACACATTTACAAGGTCTTATTCTTACTAAGTCAAAAGGCACATGAGAAAACGTACTTCCATTATTAGTGAGGTACATTTACTGCAAACTAATCACAAATAATTACAAATCTACTGCAATTTGTGATTATAAAACAGTTTTTTATAAAGCTTCCTTTTATAATGGCAGCAAACACAATTCTAGAGACACTGGTCTCTGTAATTATTAATACTGGCTGACAATTTATAATGTATGTATTAAGATGTATAAAAATATAATCCACTGTGACCATTGGATTCCTGGTCCTCGCTTTTGCTGACCTTTATGGAGGTTTCATCTTTTTTCCATGTAGTTGTGGACGGACTTGCTAAAAACAGCCAAGAAGAAATCTGCGTCTTCCTTTGTGATGCACATGGGAGGTTTGATGCGAAAGTTCTTCAGAAGAGAGAAAAATAGAAACGGGGATAAAAAAAAATTTCAGTTGAAATGACCAGTTCAGGTGACCTTTTCTGCATCTCAGGTAGGCTCCATTAAAATGTGAAGCCGTTTTGTTTCCTACTTTTCTTTTTTCATTTTGATAATCACTCTCCTTTGTGTCTTTGTAGCTACTCTCCTTGGTGATTACCTGCCTTGTCCTCCTGTCTTCACCTGTCCTGTTCCCTATCGATTCAGTGTATTTTCAGTCCAGTCTTTTCCGTATTTGTCAGTTCAGCTTCAATAACGGTCTAACAATCTCAGCTATGTTCTCTGGATGCACCTGGTTTTGTGATTACCATGGACTGTTTCTTCCACTGTATTAGCTAAAGTTTTCAGGTTAATAATATCTCCATTAATGTTTACCACCAACCTGTCAGCCCCCATTTGAGTCTTATTTTTTATTCTCTATTATAACCTGGCTGAATTCAAATCAAATGGTCAATAAGTACTAGGAAACCCAGAGGCATGGTTTTAAACATATTTTTCATTCTATTTTAATTTTTTCAATTGACAAAATTCACGAGTGAGCAGACTGTATAGCTGCTTTAAAAAAGAAAATTATTTCAAAGAGTTTCTGAAATAAAATCACAATATCAAGTAAAAAATTCACCTGTTGCATAATCAGTCTCGGATTCTATTGTTAATAGACATTTTTTACATCATAGCAGCCTTTTTCAAGAGATCACTGATGAATAGAACATGAAGCAAAACGACCTAACATGTTCTTACTAAAAGGCTCCAGAGGCTAAAAAGACAGCATAAATATGCGAACGTGAATCTTTGTGGAGTCAAAATGACTCCACTCTTAGCAGAAAACATGTAATTGACACGTTTACCATCATCTCCAAACCAGAACATCTAATCAATAAAAATGTGGAAATCACTTATCTGCTGTTTTTTGTAGGCTTTTATAAGATGTAGTAGGAGCTGCAACCAAAAAGTAATAAAATATACATTTAGCAGTGTATCCTTTTCTGACCGGAACTACTTTTTGTTATCATCTAACCCTAACTATATAGAATATTTCCAACCCATCCCACATACTTTAATTTCTACAGTACCCATTCATGAGTTAAAGTATGGAAGGTAAGAGGATTTTTTAGTGGCTGGAAAAATAAGAATATAAAAGAAAAAAAAAACAACATTAAAGACGTTCTAAACTAACAGCATCCTGCATAAAAGGTTGCAGATTTAATTACCTTCCACCATCCTAGTCTAGGCTTGAACAACATGGTGGCCACTGGCATCTGAAGCATTCATAATGTGGGGGGGACACACTGGTGGGGGGGTCTGGGGGTCCTCCCCACAACATTTTTGACTAGATGCCATTTCATGCCTTCTGGTGTATTTTAACAGGTTTTTAAACATTTATGTTTACCTACATAAGTAAACACTTGATTCAGTAACTATTTTAGAGAGCTCGGCACAACAAGAAGTAGCGCGAAGCTAGCGGCATGCAATACAGACGCGTTAGCTAAGATGCTACAGACATAGCGCTCTACTTTACATTACACAACCTAATAAACACTTTGTACAAAATCAGTTTAGTGTTAACTGATCATAACAAAGACTAAACTTATGAACATTTAAAACACACAAAACAAAGCACACCTAGCTTTAATCATTAACCTTTAATTTAAGCATTAAGCATACTGTACAATGTAATTATGACAGAAAATTGAAGATTTACGTGCAGTTACCTGCGCACAGATGAACATGTGCTACTTCTTGTTTATAACTGTTGTATTCAGCTGCTCAGGAGGTTGGTCGCAGGGCTTTATCCATCTTTTACATTTTTCCAGACTCAGTTTAGGTTTTGGAAATGGAATAAAATATGTTCCACGCTCTAAAGCAGGGATATTCAACTAAACTGCTCAGGGGGGCAAAGTTACTGAAAGCCAGCAGCTCAGGGGCCAGACACCCAGCAGTTACAGTCATTATGTAAATAAAACCAAGTATTACAATGATCTGTTTGTTACCTGTTAAATTAGTTTTTTTTTCTGCATTGAATTATAAATGCAATTAACAGAAGTCAAAACCCAGACCCAGAACTGCCAAAAAACTTAATTTTTCAGGGGTGCCGAGTTGAATTTTAGAGGTGCTTGAGCACCCCACAAAAAGAGGCTAAAATCGTCACTGCATAGGCAGTGTTGCACTAGTCAGGGAAATGTAATCATTGCATAAATTTTGAAACGTCTAAGAAAAAGTCACAAAGTTTTCTCCAATGTACTGAGGTAGGAAGAAATATTTTCACTACGTTAAGAGCTGTAAAGAATGTTAATGACTCTTCAAGGTATTGGTGAAACTTTGCTTTTGCAAGTGACCTTCACGCTGTGTGGCTAATAACTATAGGCGTCTTCATTTACAGAATTTAGTGTCACTGAGTAGTTCCTAAAAATGGACACCTAGTGAGGTATTATTTCCTGGTTTTAAGTGCAAACTATAGCTGTGTTTCTTCTACCTGCCAGTTCTGAAAATAAACTGATCAACATGAAGGTGGATGTTTTACCTGTCCATAAATTCCTCCCGTTCCAATCAGGACTCCCATATCTTTAACATCCTCAAAGATCTCAGCCATTCCTCCAGGAGGCAGAGGATCTCTGCTGGCCTGTAAAACACAGAACAGATGTTGCTGCAGTTAAGTATAGTCATCAGCCTTCAGCACGGGGCCAGCTTCTTGAAGCCAATGGCAATTGTGACAAATTATGCATCTTAGAATCCAAGTTTAATTGTTAAATTTCTTGAAACACCATGTGTCATATAATTAGATGCACCACAACAATTTAAGATTGTACTAATTATGCTATGGAACTGAAAAAAGCGCTTCAATTTAAAAAAAGAAGAAAAAAATGTGTACATAAAACCCAGCATCATATTGTGATACTTTCTATATGAAAAAAATTTATTATGAATGTAAGACTCCATTATACTTAAATCAAAAGTAAAGTTTTAGGTAGACTATGATTTAAAATTTAACTGGGGATAAAAATATGTTACACTCCCAGCATCAAACATAGTTATGCTTAAACTTATTGAAAAATGATTTAGTGTTCAAGAAAAGCATTTTCCTTCTGCCTGCTTCCTCTGCACGTCAGAGAAATCACTAATTTAACGTGTCAGAGACTCTAGCTATGACTTACTGTAATTCTAACAAGCTGTGTTGTTTGTTAGAGTTGGGGTGCCACCACCTCAACGTTTCAAACTATGATTGTTGATAAGAAGTGTTTTGAAACTCCAACCTTGCTCACAGTGGGCTAAAGCAGTTTGATACATTGCACACTGACGTTTTACTGCCACTTCCAACACAAATTGCATTAACTAAAACTAATACCAGTCAAACTTTTTATCTTGTAAGTCTAAGCCATTAAATAAAGTTTATGTTCAAAAGAATATTTATAAATTCTAGTTACCAGTGATAATTGTCCAGTATTAACATAAAAATATTCCACAGATGATGTTTCTGTCATAAAATACCTTAGTGGTGATGATGAGCTCTTTTGCTCATTATTTTTAAAAGAAACAAACAAAAACAAACAAACAAAATAAATGTTATGTCACTCGTTGCTGCACCCAGACTTAAGTGGGACGCACTTAATGGAAGCACTTCTTCCATTAAGTGCTAAAAACTGAAGGTGATAAGAGGCTGTCAGATACAGCACACCTGACATGGCTCTGAGCACAGGTATGAAGCACAGTAAGCCAACACTTTTTGGTGAAAGTGAAACTCTGAGGCGATTCCTCCAGTGTGGAAGCACATGTTGGACATGGTGCTGTGGAGATGGTCAAACCTTCTAAATATCAGGTTTCAAACACAAAAAAACTGGGAAGTGTTGTTTTAGAGGGGCACAACCAAAAATCTGAAAACACTATACAGGATTAAAACAAGTGCAGCTTCAATCATTTCAAGCCCCGTCTTTAAAAGACTTTTAGGACAGACTATACTATACTCCTTTACCCTTTCCTGTTTTTTCACATTTTAAAAAGGCACAACAGATGTTTACCTGGATTAAATGTACCTTTGCTGAGTTCTGTACGTATTGTTTTTATGCCATTAGTGCTTAGCGTATTTTTAGTTGATGTTTTTCTTAGTTCATATCTTAGATCTTATTTACATTTTATTGTTTGATGTAACTGGGACTCTGTGTACACAGTTTTGTTCCACCACATGTGGTGTGAATGACAAATAAAGAAACTCTGACTCTGAATTACAGGTGACTGTAAATGTTGCAGACAATAGTTAACAGGGATACTGGCCCCAGGAGGCACAGTGCAGACATAACACGTCACACAAACACGTGGGAAAAGATGAGTTTCATCTAAGTTTTACTTTCAGTACCTTGTCTTTGACCATTTCCACGCCGATCTGCAGACCTTTCCCACGAACATCACCAATGATCTCGTACTTTTCTCTGAGTTTTGCCAGTTCCAACAATAGATAGGTGCCCACATCAAGACTATTCTTCTGTGTGCCATCTTCTTTAATAGTCTGTTGAGCACAAAAAGATCCAACTGAATGTTAATGTCCTTATATAAAGCTAAAATTCTATAAAAAACAAGCAAATATAACAACGTTGCTCCCTCGATGCTGAAGTATAGGGCTGATGTGGAAATAGATTAAAAGTACTTACATCAAGAACTGAGGAAGCAACGGTACAAGCCACAGGATTTCCTCCAAAGGTGTTGAAATGAACCCCCTTGGCAAACGAGGCAGCAATTTCTGGAGAACACATGGATAAAAAAGTAGCACCCCCAACAGCTTCAGATGAAAGCTTCTGGCACACAATGCAATTAAAACATGATGCAAAAACAGTGCGTCTCGTGATTATGTCAGGTTCTGTAATTATTATTGTATTTTGTTCTTGGAAGAAATATAGAACATTTTGAGAAAACTAGAGGGGTTTATGTCGGGGTACGTAAAATTTAACTATTAACAGAGCTCCATGGCAACAGGCTATCACAACAAACACAAGAAGCAACGTGTGATCACACACCCACTGCCAGAAATAAGATGTAGTTGTTGAAAAACATGAAGCTATTCTTTATGGTAATCAGCACACAAAGATACATAGATTAGAAGGTGGAGAGGGATATCGATGATCAGTAGAGGTGAGGGTCAAGAGAGCTCATTTTGTCAGCACTGATTTATCTGCTTAAGGCGTTATTAAACTCAATATAGCCCACACAGGCTGATACTAGACACCTTTTACAGACTGCTGTTCTGTTCTCTATAACCTAAGTGCTGTGACACTATTCACATTCACATCATTCAAAAGTGCAGCTCTCCTGCCTTGATGCATCGATGAATAATGTTAAAGACTATGAAGAATATTAAATTAGGCTGATCCTGTCCAATCAGTTAGTGCTTTCTACACCGATTGGTTTTTCAATCAGTTGTTTTATATCTAACATGATCTCACCAGGTGTTGTAACAACAGCTCCCATGGGGAATCCATTACCGATACCCTTTGCCATTGTAACTATATCAGGAATGACGTCATGCCCTTCGAAACCCCAGAAGTGGCTTCCAGTTCGCCCAAATCCAGTTTGGACCTGCCAGGTGCAGAAAAAGACAACATGCTTTGAAAGTCATAATATATGATGACTACTCTGCAGCCCCCCAGGTGAAACGTAGAAGTGTTGTCATGGAACTATCAGTCCACACATGCAGACATCCATAATCTTTTAAAGTAATTAACTCTATTAAGATTTGTTGTAAGCAGAGTCAAACAATGAACTGTTCACCTGTTAGCAGCCAATAATGTATTTGTTAAATACCTCAAGTGTAAAAAGAGTTGTAACCAAAATATGTAAAAATAAATTAATTAATATTATTATTAATATTAATAATAATAATAATAATAATAATAACAATAATAATAAAGATGATCTAAAAGTTAAATAAAATAAAATAATAATAATAACTAAAATGATAAATATATATTTTTATTTAATATCATATTTAATTTAATATAAAATAAATCAATAATAATAAATAAAATAATTATTTATTAAAATAAAGTTTAAATAATTAAAAATGTTATTTAAAAAGACAATGATAATCTGACAAAGCAGTCCCACCAAAATCTACAAAGGATGAATCCTCCTTTTCAAACAAAAATAATCTAAGGAATATTTTTTTTTATTTTTAATTAGGAGCCATTTTAAAACTAAAATTAACCTTCAATTCACATAAAAATTTACATAGAAACTATTTTTCAGCAACAGCCTACCGGTAATTACTTAAGTGTCCAGTTACTAGTCTAAAAATGAGATGGGATACAACTTGATGCTGAGCACACACAGTAAGGAATAATAAATAAGTTTTACACCAAAACAGACCCATTACAGAACTGTTTTGTAAAACAATCAAGTTAAACTTAATCTATAATCGATAGATACTTGTTTAAGGCTTAACAAGAAAAAAGTTTGGAGGATTCAGTATGTCTGAAAAAATACACACAAAACTATATGGCTTATCAGGTTTTGTACTGAACAACTACTACTACTACTACCACTACTACTACTACCACTACTACTACTACCACTACCACTACCACTACCACTACTACTACTACTACTAATAATAATAATAATAATGATGATGATGATAAAACTGACAAAAATCTATCCAAAATATTCATCCAACCTCATCAGCGATGCAGACCCCTCCTCTCTCCCTTACAAGCTGGTAAGCGTCCTTGAGGTAGTTTTTAGGGTATTGCACAGCTCCTCCAACTCCCTACAAAAAAAAAAATCAGACTTATGAGTACAAACTTTATTGCATTTAAAAAAAATTAAAAAAAAATTGGTGTTTTATAATTTTTTTTTCAATTTTAGTTATTTTAATAAGTAGGTTTAACTATGCATACATTGTAGATGTACATTCTTACTATAAAACAATTACAAGATTTAAAGGAAAAAAGTAGACATCTAAAAATAACAGAAGGATAAAAGTAAAGTTGACATCATTCTCTGATTTATTGTAAAACTCCACAACAGACATAAAACAGCACCTGAATAGGTTCTCCAAAAAAAGCAGCAATTCTAGATGGGACACTGGTCGCTAAAGTCTCTTTGAGTTGTCCAATGTAATGATCATTTGCCATACAACTCCCTGTAACATGAAACAAACACATATACACTAATGTCATAAGAAATCATTAAAACATAGTCACAAAATGTATTAAATTATACTTATAAACATTCAACTGCTTGCACATGTTTTTAAATGTTTAAAAATTATTTAGCACATAAGTAGAAACAGGGTTGTGATAAATGATGTCTCTTTGCTGTTGACAGGTTAGATTATATTGCTGCTAAAAGGCTGTTAAATGTGTGTGTATATAAAGCTTAGTAACTATACTAACATACTGACCTTGGTGCATTTCTGAGAGTGGTTAAAGCTAAAGAGGTAAATGATCAACAGCAGGAGACTTTGAACTTTATTTAGCTTATTCTTGTGCCCTCGCTTTTTCATTTTCAAAGGTGAGGAGCCTGATGGCTGTTACTCTTGTGGTACTTCAAGCTTGCGTTGCATAAAATAAACGCCTTTTTGAGTTGCTACTCCACATGAAATAAGCACAATAAGCAAATAACAGCATTCTTGAGCTACAGTACGTTTTTTTAGATGTAATTTATAGCTGTACAAAGATTAAAAATTAAGAAAACACAGAGTTTCAAAAGTCAAACATTCATTCTCCTGGAAAACATTACCTAATCGCACTGATAACTGTGATGTGTTTTTCATTTTAGTTGGTACACGGAGCGTGCATGCCGATGTTTTTTGTACCTTGCACACAGCTACACTCTCTGGTAGTCTGTACGGGAGAGTCCCTGCAGTGGCGTCCTCCCCACGGTCCTCTGAACACATCAGGACACATGGTCTGTTTATTGGGTGGAAAACAAGACAGCTGGGTTAACCTCACAGCATTTACTCTTAAATAACACACAGAAAAAAACCAACAAGAAACTTGGTATGTTGTTAGAACATCATGCCTATTTCACTGTATATATGAAGTAGATGAACGTTATTATGAAATAAGTTATCTAAAATAAAACATAAAACAGAGAACTATGAGAATAATAGAGAACTTGACATTTGCTTGTATAGACAGATTAAAAAACATTGACTTCCCACACTCCATGTCTACATGACCTAAAAGTGAAAGCAAGACAGAAAATATGGTGACTTGAAATGTATCAAAGATTTTTCCTAACCTATATTTATGAGTATTTTACGTCAATCAACGCAAATGTATTCTTAATAAAATAAAAATAATAAGAGCTGCATGATGTTTCATGCACTAAATAATACATCAGCTAACTTTTAAATTTTTTTTTTTATTATTATTATTTTTGAGTGTTTCTTCTAGTATTGTAAATGAAACTCAACAGCAGTGGTAATGGGTTGATTTTCAAGACATGAGGGACATAATTCAAACTCAAAGTAGCTAACATCTGTATAAGTCTTTTTTTTATAAATTATATATTTTTTGCCATCATCAAAACATAAAGGTTTTCTTACAATACTATAGTGTATTACATACATTTGTGCAGCCTAAACCATTGGCAATGGGGTATTTATAGGCTGAATTGGATGTAAGACCCATGGTCTGAGGACTTCCACCGTGGTATGATCCTCTGGAGGAAAAAAGCAACAGAAAAAGCAGATTAATGTCCAACCTACAGATATTTTTTGTCAAAGAAAAGTTCTCGTAACAATTAAGATATTACATTTTATCTTAATTATATCAACAGTCCATTATTTCTTCTTATTGTTTGTTATGAATCGTTTTGTATCTGGAACAAAATAAAAGACCTGTGCTAATATTTCTGAACTCGGCACTTCTACATGTAATGACATTCAAGTGTTTTTTTTAATCCCAACTCAAGCGCACCTCATTCTAACTAATAATAGGGTTACTTAAACCAAATCTTAATTTGTGAGAAAACTGCAGTGGTCAGTACTAATCCACCACATGTGATGCAAATGACAATAAAGATACCTTGACCTTGACAACAGTAGGTTATAGAATAAAACTAAAATGTTGGTTTTGGTAAAAAAAAAAAAAAAAGCATTCATTAATAGTAAAATCAGATCAAATCTGGGGAAAAAATATAATTTTACTGTGGTCTCCTAATTTGTTCCAGAGCTCTGTGTAAATCATATAAAGAAGAACGTAGTTTATTACAAGAAAACTACCAAATAAAAACAGACTTATAAAATTGGTAAAACAGTATTGTACGCCTTTGTGTGAAACCTTTTACATCCCAATTCTTGTGCAATATCCGACATAAGAATAAAAATAGATGCAGCAAAACAATGCATCATGCACGCATTATATTTCAGTTATAATTAAAAAAAGAAAGATCTTGGACCTGAGTGTGATGATATCATAATTGCCAGTGTAGAGGCGAGCCATCAACATTGCAAGGTCATTGGCTTCAGAGCCGCTGTTGGTCAGATAGATCATCTGTGGGGAAAACAGAGCAGCATACATTTTAATTACTGCCTACACATTTATCTAAACACATTACCATGGCTATTTAAAAAAACTCACCTTAAGAGGATCTGGAAAATATGACGCTAGCTTTTCACAGTACTCGTGGAGGGCAGGATAGACATAAATGTTTGTTGTATGCCAGAGTTTTTTGAGCTGCTGTTCTGCAGCGGCTCGTACTTTTCTGTGCACACAGATATCACGAATTACAGTATTAATTTACTCACAAGTAGTGGTTGTGTAAATGAAATAAAAACCCACGGGAAAAAGACAACAGGAACTTACGGGTGGCAATGGCCCACGCTAACAGTAGCCACACCAGCAAACAAATCCAGATATCGCTTCCCATCCACGTCCCACAGCCACTGCATGTACCCCTGATGAACGAACACTGGCTTCTTATAGTACGTAACCTTCATCGTCATAGGGTTGCAGTTCTGTTTGCGGATCTCCATCATCCGTGCTTTGGACATGCCCTGAACAAAACATGAAATGCAGCATGGGATGTTTATTTTTCCTGGTTTGTTTTAATTGGACTGTTTAAAGCACAGGACCCTCATTAATGCCAACAGAGTGTGGCATTATGTGTCAATACATGCAATAGTGTTGTAAATAGCCAAATATTCAAATGTAATACATAACCATTTTATTTTTTGTAGTTCGGTAAAACACATTACAAAACACAACAGTTTGAGGCGGACACACTCCACATCAATAGGATTTTGTTCTTACCTCATATTTCTCTGGCCTGAAATTACAAGATGGCATCTCTGGTACGTCTGTAGGAGCGTGACTCAAGGCTGATTTCTGACATAACGCACCTGGGAAATAATTGTGGTTGAACTTAGACAGATGATAGAAAAATACCAGCTCACTATATAACAATGTATTTCTGACAGGAGCAATTTGTAAAAAAAAAAAAAAAGAATAAAAAATCTTGAACTTGAACTGATAAGAGTTTTTTATCGCTATAAGGTCCAGACAAATATTTTAGTGTACAGTAATTATTAACAGGTTTGCATTAAATTATGAATTGTTACACTTAAAAAAAAACAAACAGAAACCTGTTTTGCTTTAGAATAATGCAGTGATTTAGTCAACTTTAAAGGATCAAAACTAAACTAAACTATATTTTATCACATAAATACATGTCAGTAAAGGCAAGTCAAAGTGACATTTGATTTATTGTAATATTGAAGAACATTAAATTGATGTAATCAGTCAAGCTCAGCTGGAAGTTTAAAGAAGAAATTATTCAAACTAATGCTCAACTTTGATGAATGCACTGTTGTTTTTTGTTATTGTTAATTTAGTTTTCTATCTACTCTCACTTATTTATTAAATAATAATAAAAAAATAGAAAAACCATGTCTTTTGAACTATAAACACAATTGCAATGGTTACATAACAATATACTGCATTATTAAATTCGTTTAAACAACTTTGGCTACAACTGGAGACATTTCGAAGCTAGCACTAGCATACCAAGGACAGTCATGTGTTTCTTCTAACACATCTTTAATCTAAAATGTAATAAAACTAAACTACAGTAGAATCACCGTGTTTTCCTCCACATGACTGCCGTGAGACAAGTACAAGCTAAAGTTTCCAGTTAGTTAGCAGCAACTAGTTCAACATATGTTGAACTGTCTTTATATATGTTGAAACGAGAAGCCGAGCTGTGGAGTGGAAGAAGCTGTACAAAGAGGGACTTGGGGACTCACCATTTGCCAAATGGATTTTGGCCAAACTGGTCAGAAAGCAGGACTGTCCCGTTAAATGCCAACAACGGCCATTAAAACAAGATATAACTTTATACATGTTGAGCAAGCAGAGAGGACACACAGCTGGCACCACTTCTGCAACAGCCCTGACGCTCAGCAGTATGTAGCTCCAGT